ACGCGACTGCGTGTCCAATAGCGGTACGCTCCTCGTAGATGTTGAGCAGGATTTCGCTATCATTGGTGAGGCTGACTTCGACGGTCTTGATCAGCTTGCCGCCGTGGTGCAGCTCCTTGACGATGATGGCAGTCTTGGCAGGCTCGTTGGGGTTCTGAATTTCGACAACCATGCCGGGTGTGGGAGCAAAGACTCGAGAAGTAGGGTTGGTCTGGAAACGCTGACCCTGCACAAAGATGTCCGCAGTGAAGAAAGCATGTCTCCATGAGTAGCTGGAGCCTGCCAGCAGTTGCAGCCATGAGTGTACCTCTGGCATTGTGGCGTTGGGAGCAGCGGAGAGGCGGTAGATGACCTTATTCTCAAGCTCTGAGACGGTGAGACCATCCACCTCTAGACCCTGGGGTGGTGCTAGCAGGTTGCTACCGAAGTACTCAATGACGGGAATCTTGGACTCGTCATCGCCGTAGATGTCGTGCACAAGGAGCTTGATGTGACCCTCGTGGACACCATCCAGGATCTCCTTGATGGGCTCGTCGACCTTGGTGGAGTACTTGACAGCCATGGGTCCTTGAAGAATACATGTCCTGCCGACGTCTTGGTCAACGACAGCATCGAGATCCTCGGACTGCCAGAGTGAGTCCTTCTTGAAGAAGAATTCAAAGGTTTCGTCAAGGACGGGGACGAACGGTACAGGCTTCTGTCCACGACGTTGGCAAAGCAAGAGGAAGTGTTGCACATCTTGGGCGCTAATGAGCTGGTTGTCGGCATCGGGGTAGGCCTTGAAGACCTTCTCGAGCATTGGGAAGGGGTCGTTGAGCTCATCGTAGTTTTGGATGAGCGACTCGCTGCTGGCCTTACTGAAACGCTCTTCCAGTCGGCGGATGAAGTCGCCGGTCAAGCGCTTCAAGCTCTGGTCGATCCAGCGGGACTGGTGCTTGACATACATGAGGTCTACCATACGCTGGACGACCTCAGTGTAAGTCATGTCCTCCAAGTCAACTGAATCTCCCTTCTTGTTCTTGCCGAACCAGACCTTCTGGAAATCCTTGTTCAGCTTCTCGATGATGTACTCGCGCATCTTCTTTAGTTCGGGGACGCGCTTGGCCTTGTCAAGACTGAAGATCTTCTGATCCATCTCATGCCAGAAGATGACACCACGAGTGGCAAGCTTGTGAATTGGCTCACCCATCTCAGAGCGAACAGTGATGACACCTCCAGCTGGGCCCTTGTAGGTCTTTTCCCAGTCCTCGTCGTCAAGACCGGGGGCGTCAACGATAGCCTTTTTGGCCATCTTTGATGTGTGGCATTCCTTCGCCGTCATTACGCGACTGCCGAACAAGCAACCATCGTACGGCATGGGTGGGTATCCAAACTTGGTTGACCATTGACCGGTAAGGTATGGGTATGTGTCTTCCGCGCCACCGAAACCGGAACCTGCGACGAGAATCAGGTTCTCACACTTGCGCAGACGGCTGTACATCTGTAGAATGGGCTGATGGAAGTCCTCGAAGGAATGATGACCTCCACCACGACCACCAGTCCATTGCATCAAGACCGGGAAGGTAGGGTTCGCCTTCGCAATGTTAATGGTCTGCTGAATAGCCTCGACGGAACCAGGCTTGAAGGCAATGTGCTTGATGCCAAGGGTCTCGATGTATTCGTTGGCTACTTCAATGGATGGAACACCAGCACCGATGGTAAGACCTTCGATGGGGACACCTTCGGCCCTGAGCTTGGCCAAGAGGGGGATCTGCCAGGCCATAGCGCGAGGGTTAACGTAGATGAGGTTGACGCTAATACCACGACCAGCAGGAATCGCCTTCTCGACCTTGGTGATGGCTTCGGTCATGGTCTTCTCGTTGTAGTACCCACCACCAGCAAGCTCGATCTCATAGCCGGCGTTCATGGTCGCGGCGACAAAGTCCCATGGAACCGTGCAGGGCGTCATACCAGCCACCATTACCGGAGGCAAACCAAGCATGCGGCTCATCTTGGTGTCGACGTAGGTCTGGCCGGTAGATGTCTTGACGAGGCGCGGCCCGTGCTCTTTGACCCAATCGACAGCGTACTTAACAGCATGATCGAAGTCGCGGTCGAAGATTTCGGGCTTGTAGCCAACTTCAGCATTCTGTCCATCGATAGCACCTGCAAGGATGACACGGACACCAGTACCGTCCTTGTTGCGGTTGGTGAGTACACCGAGACCAGAGATACCACCAGGGCCGAAATCGAGAATGTGGGTAGCCTTAGGGAAGACAGTTGCCTTCTCCCACTCGACCGAGTCGGCAGTGATCATGCTGATAAGGCGAGGCACGATGTTGTCGCTCTCGGTCTCGCGAAGGTCTTGGCCTGTATGTGTGTCATACATGGGGATGCCAAGATCGGCAGTGGAGATCTTGATTGCTTTGAGATCATCTTCGAGCTGCTTGGTCGCATCGGCGAGGTATGGGCTGTGGAAAGGAGCAGTGATGGGTAGGAAGCGGTTGACAAAGCGCACTTTGCGCTCAGTGTAGGGAATTCTCGTTTGGTCCAGGCCAGTCGGGGCCTTGTCCTTTCGCAAACGAAGGTTAAGACCATACAGAGAGATGGGTGGACCTGTCACTACAAAGTTGCGAGCGCTGTTGACTAGAGAGATGGCAATGTGTCGATCTTGAGGTAAATGGGCATTTGTCGCGTCAATGTGGTCCTGGACTGCTTTTCTTGAAAGATCACGGATGGAAAGCATAGGCGTGGGGACACCCTCGCCGTTCTCGTCCGAGTCTTGCAAGACTGTCGGTGCCAGCGAGGTTCTGGGGAAGGCTTGCTGACTCCGCGCACCGATCCAGAAGAGGATCTCAATGGCTTTCTTGGCAGATCGCTCAAATGATTCCCAGTTTTTAGCTTCGGCGATAGCGGCGGCTGTAACGACACCCTGCGAGTGACCGGTTACACCAGACAAGCGGCTGCGTACGTGGCCGGGATGGCTGCCGAGGACTCTGCACGTTACGACGTAGTGTGCAAGCTGTGTCAACCCAATCAAGGGCAAACTGACAGGTGCCGAAACCAGGTAGTCGGTATCGGGTTGTGAGTCTCGGTTGTTGAGCCATCGCATGACATCGAGGCCCTTGGAGTAGAGCTTCTCAGCGCGTGGGTCACGCGACAGGACGAGGAGATGTTGGGCCTCGGCCGCAACAAAGTCCTCTACAAATGAGGGGTAGGTGTTGTAGATTTCGCGGAGTTCATCGAAGTACTCCTCGATGTTGCCCTGGCCGCCCAGAACAGCGTAGATGAAGGCATTCTCGTCGGAAGCCTCGCGGAAGAGAGCGGACTCGTGGTGCTTAATTGGCCTCTCTACCGCCGCGCGAGCAGCGTAGTATGACCGTACCGTGACCAGCTTCTTCTCGGTGATGCCGGGCAGAGATGCAGCCAGCGCGTGCACCTCGTTGCCGCGGAGGAAGGCACGCTCGAATTCGGTAAGAACGAGCTTGAGCACCTCCTCGAAAGAGTCAGGGTCCTCCCCCTCCTCTACCTCCTTCGCAACAAAGCCAAGGTATCGCGCCACCAGCTCCGCGACTGAGGATGGCTCATCGTCTAGGGCGAGCTCGTCGGTGGGCTCTGGGAGCGTCGACTTGAACGTGTCCCTCAATTGTTGTGCATTGAAGTGGAGGGCGGTCGGGATGAGGAGGGTGTATTCGAGCGAGCCGTGGGAGAGGATGAGCGGGCGCAGGTTTGCGGCAGAGCGGGGCGTGGAGATGCCCGTCTGCTGGCCGGAACCGTACATGGTGGTGTGGGATTACTGGTGAGGTGGTTAGTTGGGAGTCGGAGGTATTTTCAGGTGAGTGACAAGCACCGGAAGGCGCGTACCTTGGACAGATTATAGGTGTGGAAGGAACGACGTGGGCAGGAAGGAGCGTCTGAGCAGTGTGAGCTCGCGTCTGGTATGGCGGGGAAGGTGCAATCAACGCAATGGCCCGGGCCAAAAGACGTCCGGAAGACAGCTGTCTTGAATTGCTCGCAAGAAAGACTCGATGCGTACCTCTTCACTCAGACAGAAGCTAATCTGGCCGGTGTGCTGGGATAGGGCCCGTACTGCTAGTAATGTGTAGCAGCTCCCTTGCTATGTGCGGTGCGGTGTGCGAGGGGCGTGGAGAGAATACCGCAGGCAGCAGGATTACGAACGGCGCCAGGGTTTAAGAAAAGTAATCAAGAGGGAGTGCTTATGCAATTGGGCGGGGAGGAGGTGAGGAATGGGTCGGAAGCGGTGCGCTGGCGTGGTTATGGTCGCGCCGTCTTGGTCGACTTTTTCGAGAGGAGCTCAGATTTGGCCCGCATATCATGGGTCACTAGCGCCGGCAGGGGTCTGCGGTATGTTCCTACACAAATGCTGGGGCAGAGGCACTCAACAAGTCGCCGCCATGCGCTTATCCGCGCCCACGCAGCTGTTGAGGACACGGTGGGCCGAGTTTCCAAGTTTGCGTGCGAGGCTGGCACCCACTCGCAAGACGAACCGCAATCCCCTTCGTGCGGTGGCCGCCTGCGCAGCGCTCGCAAGCCCATCTTCTTCCAGGCGAGATTAGTTCGTTGAGCACCGGCCAAAGCAGTAACGAGCTGCAGCGGCAGGGGTCTGGAATTTTAGTACCGCCAGCCCGAAGCGGGAGAAATCCTCAACGCCCGGCCATATCAACGCCGCGTGCTGCTGTCCAACAAGAGATAAACAGCCAATGCGTTGAGTGTCCTGTTCCTGCAACGCCCGCTGACCCCTTCCCTCACTTATTCGCGAAGAAGAAGAAAGTTTGCGTTCGCGGGGAGCCAACGCACCCCTCCCGGACCCTTGAATCGTCTCTCGTGCTCTCACCGCACTATACACTACCCACCCACCTAATAGCGCGTCTTCTTCCTGGCCGCTCCTCCCTCCCTAGACCCACGATACCCGTCTTCTATTTTGTAATAGAGATACCCTTTGAGCTCCGTTGAGCTTCAACCACCTTCCTTTCCGCCAATTGCTCCCTCAGTCCCTCGCCATGCGTCCCGAGGTCGAGCAGGAGCTCTCGCACACGCTGCTCATTGAGCTGCTCGCATACCAGTTCGCCTCGCCCGTCAGGTGGATCGAGACGCAGGATGTCGTCCTCGGCGAGAAGACGACGGAGCGCATCGTCGAGATCGGCCCCGCAGACACGCTCGGGGTCATGGCGAAGCGCACCCTCGCCAGCAAATACGAAGGACACGATGCGGCGCGGTCGCTGCAGCGTCAGATCCTGTGCTACAACAAAGACGCCAAGGACATCTACTACGACGTAGACCCAATAGAGGAGGAACCAGAGGCTCCCGCGGCGGCCTCATCAGCGCCCTCTTCTGCACCCGCCTCTTCAGCACCTGCCGCCGCCGCCGCAGCCCCTCCACCACCGAGTGCCGGGCCCGCAGCTCAGGTGCCAGATGCCCCCGTCACAGCCACCGACATTCTGCGGACACTGGTGGCCCAGAAGCTGAAGAAGCCGCTCATGGACATTCCGCTGAGCAAGGCCATCAAGGATTTAGTCGGAGGTCCGTCAATTGCCCATCTAGCGTAAAACTGTGACTAACAAACTTCGTAGGCAAGTCCACGCTTCAGAACGAAATCCTCGGAGACCTGGGCAAGGAGTTTGGCTCGACTCCCGAAAAGCCCGAAGATACCCCTCTCGACGAGCTCGGTGCTTCGATGCAGGCTACCTTCAATGGTCAGCTTGGCAAGCAGTCCTCCTCGCTCATTGCCCGCATGGTGTCAGCCAAGATGCCTGGTGGCTTCAACATCACAGCCGTGCGAAAGCACCTCGAGACAAGATGGGGACTGGCCCAAGGGCGACAGGACGGAGTTTTGCTGCTCGCCATCACCAACGAGCCAGCAGCTCGTCTTGCCTCAGAAGCCGACGGCAAGGCTTTCCTCGATGAGCAAGCAAATAAATACGCGGGTATCGCTGGAATCAGCCTGTCTGCGCCTACAGCCGGCGGAGACGCTGGTGGTTCGGGCGGCGGCATGATGATGGACCCCGCGGCGATCGACGCCCTCACAAAGGACCAACGCCAACTGTTCAAGCAGCAGCTTGAGCTTTTCGCGCGTTACCTCAAGATCGATCTTCGTGCGGGAGACAAGTCGTTCGTCGACTCGCAGAAGGCGCAATCTGCGCTCCAAGCCCAGCTTGACCTCTGGAACACTGAGCACGGCGAATTCTATGCGTCCGGCATTGAACCCCAATTCACACCGCTCAAGGCGCGCGTCTACGACTCATCATGGAACTGGGCGCGTCAGGACGCTCTCACTATGTACTACGATATTATCTTTGGCAAGCTGAAGGCTGTCGACCGTGAGATTGTCAGTCGCTGCATCGCCATCATGAACCGCTCGAATCCTCTCCTTCTCGACTTCATGCAATACCACATGGACCACTGCCCTACTGAGCGCGGTGAGACATATGAGCTTGCAAAGGAGCTCGGTCAGCAGCTCATCGACAACTGCAAGGAGGTCTTGAACGAGGCTCCCGTCTACAAGGATGTCGCAGTACCTACCGCGCCCCACCTAGAGATTGATGCCAAGGGCAACATGAACTACAAGGAAGCGCCAAGAGCGAGCGTTCGCAAGCTTGAGCACTACGTGCGCGAGATGGCTGAGGGCGGAAAGCTGTCCGAGTACGGCAACCGCACTAAGGTCCAGAACGACCTCCAGAGGATCTACAAGCTCATCAAGCAACAACACAAGCTCTCCAAGTCCTCGCAACTTCAGATCAAGAGCCTCTACAGCAATGTCATTCGTTCGTTGTCAATGAACGAGGGACAGATCATGCCCAGCGAGAACGGCAAGGCTGCTAGCGGCAAGAGGGGTCGCAACGGTCGCGTCAACCCTTCTGCTAAGCAGGGCAAGGTCGAGACCATTCCCTTCCTGCATCTCAAGAGGAAAGATGACCATGGCTGGGAGTACAGCAAGAAGTTGACTGGCGTTTACCTGGACTGCCTAGAGGATGCCGCCAAGTCTGGTGTCACTTTCCAGGGCAAGTACGCTCTTATGACGGGCGCTGGTGCCGGCTCTATCGGTGCACAAGTCCTCCAGGGTCTCATTAGCGGTGGTGCCAAGGTCGTCGTCACAACTTCCAGGTTCTCCCGGGAGGTCACCGAGTACTATCAGTCCATGTACTCGCGATACGGCGCCCGCGGCTCTCAGCTCATTGTTGTGCCTTTCAACCAGGGCAGCAACCAAGATGTTGAGGCTTTGGTCGACTACATCTTCGACACCAAGAAGGGCCTTGGATGGGATCTCGACCTCATCGTTCCTTTTGCTGCCATCCCCGAGAACGGCCGTGAGATTGACAGCATAGATTCCAAGTCGGAGCTTGCCCATCGCATCATGTTGACCAACCTGCTGCGCATGCTTGGAGCTGTCAAGAAGCAAAAGCAGGCCTACGGCTACGAGACCCGCCCAGCCCAAGTCATTCTGCCATTGTCGCCCAACCACGGAACCTTCGGTAACGATGGTCTCTACTCAGAATCCAAGATGTCGCTCGAGACACTCTTCTCGAGGTGGCACTCTGAAAGCTGGGGCAACTACCTCACCATCTGTGGTGCCGTCATCGGCTGGACTCGCGGCACTGGTTTGATGGGCGCCAACAACATCGTCGCTGAGGGTATCGAGAAGTACGGTGTACGCACCTTCTCTCAGCAGGAGATGGCCTTCAACTTGCTTGGTCTGATGGCACCACCGATCGTCAACCTCTGCCAGGTCGAGCCTGTATGGGCTGATCTCAACGGCGGCTTCCAGTACATTCCTAACCTGAAGGACTTGATGACCGACTTGCGCAAGGAACTCACAGAGACGAGCGACATCCGCCGCGCCGTCATCAAGGAGAATGCCATCGAGAACAAGGTTGTCAACGGCGAGGCCAGCGAGGCTCTATACAAGAAGGCCACGATCGAACCACGTGCAAACATGAAGTTCGACTTCCCCACCCTACCTGATTGGGACACAGAGGTCAAGCCGCTCAATGATAACCTTAAGGGTATGGTCGACCTTGAGAAGGTCGTCGTCGTCACTGGTTTCTCCGAGGTCGGTCCTTGGGGTAACTCCAGGACACGCTGGGAGATGGAAGCGTACGGCGAATTCTCCATTGAGGGATGCGTTGAGATGGCCTGGATCATGGGTCTCATCAAGAACCACAACGGTCCTCTCAAGGGCAAGAGCTACTCCGGATGGGTTGACGCCAAGACCAACGAGCCAATCGACGACAAGGATGTCAAGCCCAAGTACGAGAAGTACATTCTCGAGCACGCCGGTATCCGCCTTATCGAGCCCGAGCTTTTCAATGGCTACGACCCCAAGAAGAAGCAGCTTATGCAAGAGATCCAGATTGAGGAGGATCTCGATCCATTCGAGGCTTCCAAGGAGCTTGCGGAGGAGTTCAAGAAGGAGCATGGCGACAAGGTTGAGATCTTTGCGATCGAGGAGTCTAGCGAATACACTGTCCGCATGAAGAAGGGAGCTACACTCCTCCTTCCCAAGGCTCTTCGCTTCGACCGTCTCGTAGCTGGTCAAATCCCGACTGGCTGGGATGCAAAGAAGTACGGTGTGCCGGACGACATCATCTCCCAAGTCGACCCTGTCACACTCTTCGTGCTTGTATCCACGGCCGAGTGTCTGCTTGCCAGTGGTATCACCGACCCCTACGAGTTCTACCAATATGTCCACTTGTCTCAAGTCGGTAACTGCGTCGGTTCCGGTATTGGTGGTACTACCGCCCTTCGAGGAATGTACAAAGACCGTTTCATGGACAAGCCAGTCCAGAAGGATATTCTGCAAGAGTCTTTCATCAACACTATGAGCGCTTGGGTCAACATGTTGCTCATTTCATCCACTGGACCTATTAAGACACCCGTCGGTGCTTGCGCCACTGCTGTTGAGTCTCTTGATATCGGTTACGACACCATCGTTGAAGGAAAGGCTCGCGTCTGCTTTGTTGGTGGCTTCGATGACTTCCAAGAGGAAGGCTCATACGAATTCGCCAACATGAAGGCTACTAGCAACGCCGAAGACGAATTCGCTCATGGACGTACACCCAAGGAGATGTCGCGCCCCACCACCACAACCCGAAATGGCTTCATGGAGTCGCAGGGTTGCGGTATGCAAGTCATCATGGACGCCAAGCTCGCCCTCGACATGGGAGTCCCCATCTACGGTATCCTTGGCTTCACGGCCACAGCAACCGACAAGATTGGTCGTTCCGTCCCTGCTCCAGGAAAGGGTGTACTGACCACCGCACGAGAGAACCCGTCCAAGTTCCCCTCTCCGCTACTTGACATCAAGTACAGGAGGAGACAGATGGACCTCCGCCGCAAGCAGATTAAACAGTGGCAGGAGTCGGAAGTCCTCTACCTCCAGGAGGAAGTCGCGGCGATGAAGGACGCTACTGGCGAGGACTTCGACGAGGCTGCCTACCTCGAGGAGCGTGCTGCTAACATCGAGATGGAAGCTAAGCGACAAGAGAAGGACGCGCTCAACAGTCTCGGTAACAGCTTCTGGAAGCAAGACTCACGCATCGCTCCTCTTCGTGGTGCACTTGCTACCTGGGGCCTTACCATTGACGATCTCGATGTTGCTTCTTTCCACGGTACCTCCACTGTTGCGAACGACAAGAACGAGTCCGACGTCATCAACCACCAGATGCGCCACCTGGGCCGTAAGAAGGGCAATGCGCTGCTTGGTATCTGGCAGAAGTACCTCACTGGTCATCCCAAGGGTGCTGCCGGTGCTTGGATGTTCAACGGCTGCTTGCAGGTGCTCAACACTGGTCTCGTACCTGGCAACCGCAACGCCGATAACGTCGACAAGATCATGGAGCAATACGACTACATCGTCTACCCGTCGCAGGCCATCCAGACCGATGGGATCAAGGCCTTCTCCGTTACTTCATTCGGTTTCGGACAGAAGGGAACTCAAGCTATCGGTATCCACCCCAAGTACCTCTTCGCCGCGCTTGAGCACCACCATTTCGCTGCCTACAAGCAGAAGGTTGAGGCTCGCCAAAAGAAGGCCTACCGATACTTCCACGATGGCCTCATCAACAACACCATGTTCCGTGCCAAGGACAAGGCGCCGTACGAGGATGAGAAGATGCAAGAGGTCTTCCTCAACCCACAAGCGCGTGTCACCATGAACAAGAAGACTTCGACATACAGCTATGCGAAGACCCCTGCACCCAAGAAGGACAAGAAGGCGCAGGAGACGATGAAGATGGTTGAGCAACTCACTCAAGCCACAGCTTCGGCCAACAGCAAGGTTGGTGTCGACGTTGAGAGCATCAGTGCACTCAACATCGAGAACGAGACCTTCATCGAGCGCAACTTCACCGACAAGGAAATTGCATACTGCCAAAAGGCACCAAACCCGCAAGCCAGCTTCACAGGCAAGTGGTCAGCGAAGGAAGCTGTCTTCAAGTCTCTTGGTGTCAAGGGTCAAGGCGCCGGTGCTCCACTGAAGGATATCGAGATCATCAACGACGAGTCTGGCGCACCAACTGTTCAGGTATGTTTCTACCATGAATCAATTCTGAAAATTCACACTAACGTCTACACAGCTCTACGGCAAAGCCGACGAAGAAGCCAAGCGCGTAGGTGTCAAGAACATCAACATCAGCATCAGCCACTCGGACGACCAGGCTGTTTCCGTCGCCATCGCGCAATGTTAAATATACGTGTCAACACCGGTGGGCGATGTCCCTCAATATTCACGACGATTAGATGCATGGTAGTATAGTTGGAGCAAGGAACATTATTCCCCCTATGCGGCGTGTTTGGGTCCCCAGGCGCATCAAGATTAGATATGTCCATGGTTCGCAAGAGATTTATGTATTGTAATGCAACAAAAACATGTTCAAACAAAACCGCTTTCACCAAATGATACGATATGCATAGTGACGATAACGATAACGGTGCTTGTCCCTGCATTGCCGCCTCCAGCTCCCACCCATCAGACCCTCCATCTCCTTATCTCTGTATCTTCCGAGCATCCCGAGATAACCTCAACAGATAAATCCTCTTCCACATAAACGATACATCATGCATATTGTTGAGCTCGGGTTCCATTCGTAGAAGGTTTCTTGGTCGCCCCGCTGTTAGCCGTTTTACGCGGTTCCCTTATGCAGTTGAGGCTGACCTGCAGCGGGTAGCTGCATGGGCTGACGTAGCGTGCAGGTTGTTGAGTAGGGGTTTGGGAACGTGGAAATGCGCGGCCGTTGGGTTGGGGGATTTGGTAGAGGGGGAGACGGGTTGAAGACGGATTGATGCAGGTGGTGGGATGACGTTGTGGTGTGGGGGTATGGGTGGGCTGGATGGAAGCGTGTATGCAGGAGTGGGTGGTACGCTTGGTTGATGGCCCGTTGCTGCCCAGGTGGTCTCAGGTATGACGTATCGTGATTTCTGGTCTTGGTATAAGAAAGTGCGTACTTGCGCCAGTCGATGTTCAGCAAGTTTATTTTTATCACTCATGGCTCTTCTTCTCTTCCCTGACTGTTTGTTTGACGCAAGACGCATCACGAAGTGAGGCATATCACATCGAAGTACATCATCTATAGGAGGGTCGTGGTTTCTGTGCATAGACTAGTGGATATATCTCACATCAATACTCTACATGGCTTTCTGTTATTATCGTAGCGATGTGTTATGCGTAAGTCGCTGTTTTCGCCAGCCTAGCTGTGGGAGTTGAACAGTGTGTCCCTGCGCTTGCCGTGTCTACCCTTAAATGCGACGCCGATGTCGCCAAAACGCCGTAATGCACCGGGTATCGTACGCAGTATCCAGAATAACGAAAGAAAGTGGAAAGACATCTCGGAACAGATCATTTGATGTAACGGGCAGGGTGAGGCGAGCGCGAAGATGCCTCTGGAAGGTTGTCCCCTTCAGCCGCTGGGCGCTTCGTCGTCGTTGTCCCAGGAAGGATCTGTGCTCGCAAGAAGCATTTTGAAAACATTGCCAGTGGACGGTTCCGTGTCGACAATGTCCCCGGGGACCTCATAGTGCTTCAGATTATCGTTGTCGAGATATTCGAGGCGCTGTTTACCGATCGGGTCATCGCCGAAGCGGATAAACTGAATTCCGACATGTTGCAGTTTTCCAGCCTTCCACAGGTTATCGACCAGGTGTGTGATGTGATTTTGAATGACAGAAACACAGTGTGAACCTGGTGACCATACACCGTCAGTGAGAATGTAGATATTGGCAGGAGGCTTTTCCTCTGCTCGTAGAGACAAGGATGATCGCTTGCTTGTTGGGCTCTGGTAGTAGAGTGGAAGGATTCTGCTCAGTGCCATACCCATTTGGCATTCGCCATGTTGTTTCACTTTTTCGAATTTTCTGGTCAGCCTTTTTCGGTCCTTATCCCGACCTTTGTGCCCAGGGCTATTGGCGAAATGTAACTCGATGCCATCTGGATCCATGGTTTTTACTAGGTATGCTAAAGCTTCGAAGACGCTTCTCACTTCATCCCAGTGTTGCCCCATCGATTCAGAGTCGTCAATCAGGAAGATCTGTTGAATAACGTCAGCAAAAGCGCCAAGAATACTCAAGATTGTTGATTTACCTGGTCTCTACCATGCAGTCTACCTAGCCATTCCTCGCCTGGTAGTATAGTGGGTAAGTGCAACTTCTTCTTTCGTATGTGCTCCAAGACCTGAGTGATGGAAGCTGAAGGCCTGGCCTTCTGAACCACAGACGCATTAGGCGGCGAGTCATAACTACGAATAGGAGCCAGTGGGGTCCGTGGCCATTCATGTATAGTATCGGCAGTCGGGCTATACGGCTCATGTCTCGGTGTCCTTCCATGTCTGGCACTCGACGCACCAGAATTTGGGCGAGGAGAACGATCTCCACTGATCGTTGTGCGTCTTTCTAGGGGACGATCCGGTTGATACCCGTGTGCATCGCTGGACAACGGCCGCGAACCTGCATTCATAGTGAAGCCCAACCCGCTCGTCATGCTTGGGGACAGATTGACAGGCACGGAGTATCGAGAATACTGGTCTGTTGCGGTTGGTCGCGTAGTTCTATCGCCGACTGGTGGGTGAACCGATGGTGTCGCTAAGTCTATAGCTTGTGTGAGGTTGTCGTAAACTGTCCGCGCATCTGGTCTACTGGCCGGATCTTGCATCATCATGCCGCGGACAATAAGAAGAACTGAGCCAACGACATTGTCTATGGCGGCTCTGCATCGTTGGTTGACCTCCTTGTGCATATCTCCTACAACCGAGAGGACTTTGGTGGTATCATGGAAGCAGCCGCTATAGCCAGTATTCCTAAGAGTCGGAATGGCATCAGCAGCTCTGACGCGCTGTCGATGGTAATCATCCAATCCTCTTTGGCCTAGTACAGACCATACCGCGGCTTCACTGATCACACAAGCCAAAGCCCAAATATCCTTAGCCGGACGAGCTTGCTTGATGCTTTGTTGCCTGGACCGATCTGTCTCGCCACGAAAGTACTCGGGAGCACCTTGGAAGCATGTTAGATTTGGGTAAGTCTAGAAGTTGGTGATGACATACTGTACATCTTCGTACCGTGCACATCTCGAATTTGCGCCTCGTCCGACTCTTTAGCCACCACAAACCCGGCGAGACCAAGGTCTGCCAGTTTGAAGGACACACTGTACGGGCTATCCCCGTTCGGCTCCGATACGAGAATGTTATCCGGTTTGATGTCGTTGTGAAGCCTTCGATGGTCAGTTCGAACAAAGAAGAAGGAAGACCGATGCTTTTAGACGTACCCCACTTTGTATGAATATTGGTTCTGCGGATTGGGAAGGCGATGTATGCATGCTATCGGCTTGATGAACTGTATGAAGTTGCTCCAGAATTCCAGAATTTCGGCCTTGGTTGTAGGCGGCTCGGTTCGCCCGAAGAAGTCTGCGAGTGTGCCACCGCTAACATATTCGCGCAATATGTTACGAGTTTCACCCTGTGTCCACGAACCATAGAAGCGGGCCATATGTTGCATCGCATCTCGGCCACTCGGGTGGCTCAGTAGTGTTCTGTAGGCTTCTACCTCGTTGTTGTGTAGTTTGGCATAGCCCGATGGGCTCGATTTCAGGATGAATACATTGGTCGGGGGAATGTTCAGCTCGTTCTTAGCGCAAAGAAGTCAGCTAGTTGCTATGAATGTACAGACTTTTGCGCGCGCGCACGCTCTTGACCTACTGCGATGAGATGGTTGTACTCCTCGAATAGCTCCACCTTGGAGATGGTGGCGTCCACCCCTTCTTTCAGAAGTAATTTATGCTTTAAGGGCACGACCATGTTCTCATGTAGCCAAGTGTCGTGCAGTTGACCAAACACGAGCCGTTTTGGACAGAACTTCCATTGTGCTTTGTAGAACTCTTCGAATATGTACTGGACAGTCTCCGGCCATGCGTCACAGGTAAGGAAAGGTAGCCCTCTGTCTGCCATGTGATCGTGTCGTATGAATGTTGATAGATGGAAGCCCTTGTTTATCGAAAGTAGGATTGAAAACACAGCTAGATGACTGGCTCGGACAGCATCCTCGTAGCCGGGGTCGCTTTCTACGTACAACAAGAGGCTTCGTGCTCTTTCCGTAGTGAGATAGGATTGGAGGCTATCGAGTGATACGATCGGTCGGGTGTCCAGTGGCCGTGACGCAGTTACAGCGGACGCTGTGTAGGCGTTCACATGTTCGAAGAACTCGTGAAGTTCAGCCCCCATCGTGGCTATTGTGGACGGTGTGCATCAGGTATTCTCGTCCGGTGCGAGTCGCGATAGGTATAGGAATAGTTCGGGGTGCAGAGGAAGTGGTATGAAGGTTGCGCGTAAGCTCAATGTGAGGTCGAAACTTCCGCAAGTCTGCGCGGCTGGAATCAGGCACCTGGGGCGTCGGGGGAGCTACTCCATGTCTAGTCGCGCAAGCGATCGAGCAGGACCCCGCCCACAACCTCAAGCCACACTCAACCGGACCTGCATCAACTGCATCGTTGTCCTTCATCGAGCGTGCCATCGTTCATCTGGAAGTTTACGGATTCTTGTGTCAAATATGCGACAAAAGGAAATGAGAGTTATCGCGAACAATGGAGAGGTGACAACAGGAAAGTTGGCGGCCACGCGGCTACGCGGCTGAGCGACCGTGATAGCTACAGCCTACAAACCTACCACGGTAAACCTATTTTTGTCATCAATAACGCATACGTGCTCGCAATGAGTACTGATTGATGCTCGGAGATATCAAGACAGGAAGAATCTCCCTTGTTGACACGACGTTGCCCAGGTGGCTTTTAGGTCGAACAACGTGGAACCGCCAAGACGCATCGGTCCGCTATTGACCATGGCTCGCAGCCCAGGCTCGATGATACGCTCGCAAGTTTCGACGGGTTCCGCAGCGATCCTGATCTTGGAAGCGTCGACCAGGCCTTCGCATAAGAACAGGTTGGCTTTCGGATCGACCAACTTCCATATTGAGCTGTGCAAAAAGACAGGTATGTAACCGTACGGGCACGTCAATGTCTGGAACAAATATCGTCGCGACGCAAAGTTGTCTAGAAATCTATGAGTCTAATATATAGGAGAGGAAACAACTTTATCGTCCCGATTCGTGCTGCTCTGTTGGTCCGACACTACAGAGATCAGGCCTCCCCAAGAGCCTCGGACCGATCGTTCGACCGAGCCTCCCTTCGAGCGAAATAATATATGAAGTACCATGCGACAAAGGTCAAGGCTGTCGCGGGGAGAGCAATCATTAGATATAGCCGGAGGCCTTGCATTTGCAGGTCTTGTTCACCATCTTGGAATCTGAGGATGTCGGTGCTCATGAAAGTCTGCCTGATATTAGCTGATGTACGATTTGAAGGTGCATGATCAAGAACTTACAGCAATGAAGGTCGCTGGAAGGAAGAACAAGGTCACAGTGGTAATCACTCTCATGGACACAGTCTCTTGCTTCGTCTTCATGGCAAGATCTTGCATCTTCACGGTCATTACTTCCATGCGAGCTGCCAACTCTCGAGATTCTTTTGCGTAGAATTCGCTGGCTTTGGAACTTCGATGCTGCAATATGCCACTCAACTGTGACAAGCTGTTAGCATACATCATTCCGAAACCTGAGTTCACGGGTGCTTACCAAGTTCTTCCGGTTAGCCAGGAGGTGTAATAGCGTCTCAGTCCGCGATCGCAGCATGTGCATGTCTTTCTCCACTCCAACTATACCTTTGTTGAATCGATGGAATTGAGCTCTGCACTCGTCCTTCACATCTTGCGGGAAGTCGGCATGCTTCGCTACATCATCGTAGTGCACCCTCAATTGCTCAAGAACTTCGGTGTTCAGCTTCAGTACAAGCATGGCTTCTTGTGCCTTCTCTTCGATATGTTGAATGGCTCGTAGATTGTCGAAGGTAAATGTGTCCGACTTCTTGTCTAATTTACCATCGTGAGGTGCAGATGGGAACTCCGGTGGTGCGGTTGATTCAGGGGATGCTATCAACGTCTTCTCATCTCCGGAAGTTTGACGGCTATCAACTGCATTGGATTGCAATGGCTTTTCCATTAGTCCGCGTAGCTTGTTCAGAGTCGATCTCCACGACTTCGCCTCTGGAAAAGCGCTCTTTCTCGGCGATGAAGTCCAGAATCTGCAGGGCTGATTACTGTTATCCGCTGTTGTTGGTTCATACGTCTCTGGACTTTGTTGCAACGTGTTTGACCGGGTCCAGGTGTGTGCTGTCAGAAGAGGACGCAATGTATGAGCTCGTGACAAGGTGAATGGCCCTACGCCGAAACGTGGACTCGTGATCTTTGGGAGCGTAGGCGATGGTAGCGGTGATGGCTGACTCTCGACTTCATATGCTAGTAGTCCTTGTGCCAAAGTTGACAACCGATCTTCGAGAGCGTTGATGTACCATCGCCAATTCTCTCCGGACCAATTGGACAACAAAAGATGTGTTTCTAGTGACGCCGCGAACGCAGCGCTACGAGAATTGAGAGGCTTGCCGCTCTGTGTTGATCTCTCAGAAACTTCAGTCACGCGTTTCATGATCTCTTTATTTCCCTTGACGACGATCCAGAGCATTCTGCCACTTTCCACGTCGAAGGTGTGATATACAGCACATTGGCGGATGGACCAGGGTATATTTGACGAGCTCCTCGTCGATTCCACGGACCTCAGGTTGTAACAGAAGCGAAGGTCTCTGCCTGAGCGTTCTAAGCTGGATAGCTCGCAAGCCTTGTCGTAAGGCGCTAACCGGCATTCTTCCCTCAATCCACTGAAGTAGAAATCTTGTGCTTCTTCACTCAGTCCAAAAGGGAAGACAAAATCCAGAAATGAAGGA